AAAAAAAAAAAAAAAAAAAGAAAGAAAGAAGAAAAATTATCCGAAAGAGAATAGTTAATGGCTTGGATTTGGAATAATCCACGTGTTACATAGGAATCCATAGATAGGTTCAAATGTGAGCTCGTAATTTTAACGCGTTGGACGACGTTTGTTTTATGCGCAAAGTTGAAAGATAAACGTTACGTGTATTTGTATTCGCGCGTAATGATTATTATCTTTTTACGGTGCGAAAATAAAAAAATGATCGCGAGGTAGATACAGAATTTTTTTTTTTACAGAATTTTAGAATTTTTATAGTTCGCGCACGACTCGAACGATACGATTTTTAACGATATTCGTACGTAATTTGTACTTTGTTCGCTTCGTTTTTTCGAGCGCTCGAAACTTCTTTAAGGTTCTCTCTTTGTTCCCAGTCTATTGGTTAAACTTTCATTCGTTTCAATCAAAAATGCGCTGCATTGTCATCAAAATATTCGCTTTATATATCTGATATGTATTATATGTTGTGAAATGAAATTCTAAAGATATATTGTAAAATAAACAATTTTTTATATTGAAAACTAAAACACATTATAAGAGGAAAATTATGAAAGTATGTATGATTAATCGTCACGTATTTTGTTTTTGACAGAGCGAGTATAGACAAGGAGAGTAAATTAGTAAGAAAAGGATAGAGATAGGGTAAAAATTCGGGAATCAGCGCCATCTCAAGAGTGCCGCAAATGAAACTCATAAAGGAAGGACAGAAAATAATAAAAGAAGGATAGAGATAGAATTGATCATCAGCGCCATCTGTTAAGTAACTTAAGAAACTTTAAAAAACATATTTTTGGCATCTTTTTAAAGGAATTTGAAAGATGGCGCTAGATCTCAATTCTTATCCTTTCTTACCGAGACAAATTTTTCTTTGAAGAAATATCTCTGTTATTCAAGAGATGGTGCTGTTAGTCAATTCTTATTCTCTCTATCCTTTTTTATTATTTGTTCTCTTTGTCTATATTGAGTTTCATTTGCGGCACTCTAGAGATGGCGCTGATTTTCAAATTTTTACTCTATTTCTATCCTTTTCTTGCTATTTGCTCTCCTTGTTTATATTATTCGACAAAATTTATTCGCTAAAAAGAGAATTTTTATATTTTAATTAATTTTATTATCCTTTCGATATTTTTTGATTAATTAATTAAAAATCTAAAAATTAGTTACATATTACCACTTTTATTTAACTTGATGTTTTAATTGTATAAATATAATATAGGTATAATAAAATATGCAATTATTATATTTTATATAATTTTTTTTATTATTTTTCATATATATAACTTTAATAATATCATTTAAATATAATTTTTTGCAAGCATAAAGAATTCTAACATATTTATGTGACATATTTCTACAATTTATCAATGCGATTTACATTTAGTTCAATAAAACATTTATCTAATTTTAATAATTTTCTTCGTAGACTATTATACATATATATATATATATATAGAAAGAGAAAAAGAAAAATAATTTTTCTAACAATAATTTACTATGCGCATCAAATTTTAATTACTTATGAAACAAATTTTTTTTTTTTTAATCTTGAGCATTGATTATATTATCATCGGAATATATATTATTTTGATTTCGTACTGATCTTTCCGGTGTCTCTATATTAGGACTTTTATCGATATCGCTATCGGAAGACGAAGTATCTTGAGGTAATTCGATTCCTTGAGTTAAAAGATTAGTTATTCTCTCAATATCCACCGTATCATCCTGCTCTTGTATCTTCCTGAGAGCGTTCGAAACGATACAAAGATCACCTCTGAGCTCGCTGACTACTGCCGTGATTTTTTGAGCATCCGTCAACACTTCCACCGATTGCGTATAAGGATTATACCGTAATCCAAACGGTCGTTGTATTTGGTTTGCAAATGCTCTAAAAATAAAAAGAAGAAATTA